ATGAATAAACGCGGTACATCCAAACATTTTCGGAGATAGATCTCAGGTAAAACTGGCAATATGTGGGAAAGATTCAAGTTATACATGTTGAGGGGTCTTAAACTGAAGCACTCGACTAGGAAACCTATTAATTAGATAGGTGGTTGTGAGGACTGCCTCACCCCATAGATGTTTCGGTACATGATGAGTGAACATAGCAGTTCGAGCAACTTCAAGCATATGTCGGTTTTTCGCTCTGCATTTTTGTTCTGTTATGGTGTATCCACGCATGAGCTAACATGAATAATCTCATGTTAGTCAAATACTTGCTCATATTCTGGTTAAAGTAACCATGAGCGTTGTCTGTTTTTAATACTTATATGTTTTCTTGGAATAGAGTTTGAACCATTCAGCGGTAGTTCTGATATATACCAGTAGTTTCAAATTTCTCGTTCATCAAGAAAGTCTATGTGAGTCGTGTATGGTCATCGATGAAAGAGATGAACCATCAGGCACCATTGATATTTCGGACATTCACAAGACCCCGGATGTCACTATGCACAATGGCAAATGGCTTAATAGGCCGATAGCTCGATCCGGTATGAGTGTGCTTTGCAAGTTGACAAACATCACATTCAGATAACTTGGCACTTCTTTTATTGAATAATTACAACAACTGTGATGCCATAGAACTACTTCATCTGCACTACTATCTAAGTTAGCTACAATATGAGCACTTCATGTATAGTAGACTCCTCCGATTTCTACTCCGTTCCTCGCAAAATGTATAGGCCATCACGAACCTCACCACTGCCACACATCATTCCTGTCCCCACTTCATGTAACACATAACGAGGAGAACTAAACTTAACTTCACACCCCAAATCATAAATAACTTGACATGTAGACAAGGACGGGAAACAAGGTGAGTTTTTTTAATCAAACCAATTCCAGCGATGGGCAAACTTGTCAAAAGCGTTAAAAAGCACTGAAAAGCGACGAAGCGCAGGCGAGCGCCATACCTGCGCCTGGCTTTTGAGAAGCGCTGGGTAATGGGAAAGCGTCACTTTTCCAGCGCTTTTGATGGAGCTCGCTTAATGAAAAGCTATCGCTTTTCATGGCTTCTCACAAAAAGCGATAGATACCTTGACCAGTCAATTTTTTTATTTTAAAAAAAGGCTTCTCGTCTAGACCGTATAGGGTTATACGTAAGAGTCGTTCGACTCTTTCCCAAATCCCCCTCCAGACATAGCCGCCCTCCACGCAATCGCGCATAGCCGCGTACCTGAAGAAATCGAAGGTGAAGAGGAGTTCTCCACCCCTGTTTCCAAGTCGCGAATCGCAGGTGAAGGGTTCTCCCAGACTATCGTCGGTGCTGCGCAGACCGCAGGTTCTATTTCATCGTCTTTCTTCAAATTTTCAGTTTACGTTATTAACTTGGAGCTCTGAATTCCGCAGCTTATCTAACTCTGTCCAACTCTGTTTCTATCCCATTTAACTTGAAGCCCTGTAATCTGTTTGTATAACTTACTGAGTGTCTGAGTTACTTCCAACACATCCTGTATGTTTTTTTGGCAAACTAAAAGAGCCTATGTTTTTTTCAAACATAGGTTATTTTTGGCAAGTAATTTGAAATATTTAAGTGTTTGTAGATCGTTAACTTGTAGCTCATTAAAAATATTTACGTTATTTTTTTTGGCAAACTAAAAGAGCCTATGTTTTTTTTGTGAAACATGTATATGTAGAATTGTAGACAAAAATGTCTGGAGAACAATCTAAAAGTCAGGATCCTGCTTGGGAGCATGGGTTAAGGGTCACGCCAGTATTGGCATAATTATACATTATATTATATATTATCTTTTGTTTTTTTAAGCATCGCTTTTTGTGAGAAAGCTACGCTTCGCTTAGCGCTTTCTCTTTTAAGCAAAGCTCAAGGTCATCGCTTTTGGCCGCTTTTTGCTTTAAAAAAGTTTGGCGATGGGAGCTAAGGTACCATCGGCAATCTTAACCACTGCCTTATGAGGGTAAGGTTGCATGTTCGGAATGAGGTTGAGCTTTAAGTTCCCAGACATATTATCAGTTGCATCGGAGTGAAGTTTCCAAACATCTGTATGATGGGCATGAGAGACAAGGGCACTAGGTATGGTACTTGATTGCTCCAACAAACTAGAGATGAATCTTTTGGGTACCCCTTTTTCAGCCTTGAGAACTTGGGAAAATATCTTTTGTAGAGCATCAAGCTGCCCTTTTGAAAATTGAGGTTCCTCCACTGCTTTCTTACACGTAGTCGCATTCACTGAGGCTTATGTTGACTCATTCTTGATATCCAGCCATTCTCCCTTTATCATACTCCCTCCGTCCCAGAAAGGTTCACCAAATTGACATTTCTTGGTCAATGACTATCAACTTTGACTCATGATATTTCTTAATACGAAATTATTTAAAAATATAAAAACTATATCAAAATGTTCCTCATTCAAAATATTTTCATAAAAGTATAAAATTTATAAATTACATACAAATACAATAATTAAAATCATCGTCCAAAGTTTGCCATCATTGACCAAGAAAAGTCAATATGACGAACCTTTTCGAGACAGAGGTAGTATAACAATGGTTGTAGCCGCGAGGTATTAAAAATGTTGAAAAGTTAATATCTTAAAAAATCCATTTGCGTTCAATGCTTCCTTTTATGTTAAAAATATTAAATTTTGATATTAAAAATAGAAACCATTGAACACAAAATGGATTTTTTAATATTTTCATTTTCCAAACTCAATATATTAATTAATTTATTTTTTATTTATTTTTAGTTATTATTATTTATTTAAAGTCCATAAGGGTAAATCTGCTCCTAAATATGAACTTTAGGGATACTTTTGTACCTTTCAAAACCTTAAGGGCATATTTGCACCTGGAGCTAAACTTTAAGGGTATATCGTCACCTTTCCCCCTTGAGTAAATTATATTCCATGGAAAGATCAATTCTTCTTCTTTTACAACAAAAGGTTTGGTTATCCTCTAAGTGCTCATTTCAAATTTCTGAGACTTTGTGCTGCCTTGTATTGTGTTGCTTCCCTTGTAATCCGTTTAAAGCTTGCTTTACCAACAGAATGTTACTTTATGTCATTTCTCATTAATGGCCTTAGGATTTGAAATGTTCTAGAATTCGTTTGGTAAATCCATCACATCTCGCTCCTATTTCCAAATTATATCCTTTGTATGTTGGCATCTTGATTTGAAAGAAAACTTATTTTAGATTAATAAGGATTTAGATTGGGGAAAATGGAAACTAATAATCCCACCTTTTAGCCGTCTTCTTACACTAGTCCCACCTAATCGTAATTCAAAAATAATCCCACATTTGCACCTCATCTTCTTCCACCGGTCTCTGACCAGTTGATAACCTTCTATTCCACGTTATTTTCTTTTCTTTGCAAAAACATTAAACCATGAATCTCAAATCCCCACTTTTCACAATCTTCTCCAAATGGTCCCTCATATCAATGTTTTCTCCCTAAACTTTTTTCTTTTTATTTTTATCCTCTTAACTCTTTATTTCCCTTTTTCCTTATTTTTATTTCTTTTCCATGTTTATCATCATCATTACTCCGGTGCCGCAACGGCTCCCACCTACGGTGGGGTAAGGAGGGGTCAAAAGTACACAGTCTTACCCCTGCACATGGGGACTGTTTCCGAATGACCCATAGTGAAAATAGCGTCGAAAATTGCATGGACTAACTGTTGTTTCATAATAAAGAAGCACAGACAATTTAGTGAACTATTTTGCGTTATTCCATCATATTCCCAAGCCAAAAAATACCGAGTTTTTGGCTCCATCGCAAATGATGGAAAATGTTCCATGTTTATGTATTCCATTTTTTCTTTCTTTTTACTTCTTCTCGTTCATTATTTCATTCCATTTTATGTATTTTCCAGATTAGTTCCCTTCTTATAAATGATCTTTTTCTAGCCCTACTAATTTTTTACTTTACTTTCTTTTTACTTCCACTTATTTATTTCATTTTTCCTTTTCTTACGTTGATTCCACCACTAATATATGTTTCTCTTTTCTGAAAAAATCAAAGAAAAATTATAAACAAGAAGCGGGGGAAAATATAAAAAAAAAAGACTACAAAGATTAGGAATACATAAAATGAAAGAAAATAAAAATGGAGGAGAAAAAAAGGAAAAATTGTCGAAAGAAAATTTTATAAAAAAACTCTTAGGATAAATGGATGAAGGAATGCATAAACAAGGTAAATAAATGAAAATAAAAAAGAAAAAGGAATAAAAGCATTGTGATGATAAAGCAAAAAGAGAAAACTTTTAGGAAGAAAAAAGAAAAATCATGTGGGACCGTTTTGAAAAGATTTGTACAAGGTGAGATTTATGGTTTAATGATTTGCAAAGAAAAGAAAATAACAGGGACCGATCGAAGAAGATGGGGTGCAAAGGTGAGATTATTCCTGAATAACGATTCGGTGGGACTATTGTAAGATGACCGCTAAAAGGTGGGATTACTAGCTTCCATTTTCCCTTTAGATTATTGTTTTTTTCTTGCACATATAATGTTTCTACTTAAGTTAATTGTGCTTTCATGTTTTTTATTATTGAATCCTTAACTAATCTCAAACTTCAGGATCCAGCCCTCGTCTATAGGCCTACTTGTGAGAAGTTGTATTCGCCAAGCCACTTATCCTTGTTTAGTTTAACAAGGATGTGCATTTATTGTTTGTATCCTTTTGTAAACAGTGCTTTGTATTTTTTACGCTAATTGTACTTCTCTACAACTATAAAAACATCCAACCATACAAAGCTGGTAAATTTTGTTACTTTCACAATGGTTTCCAACTACATAAATGAAAAATGGGACAGAAGTTTCATTAGTGTAACTGGCATCATACATCTAAATGGCTTGCCAATTTCTAAGGTCATTATTAATGTTCCCTTCTCTCCTAGTATTCGTGTCTTCATGTATACAGATTATTACACTTAAAAATTCAGATTTGAAGTCTCACCCTGGCCAATGAAATTAATGCTTTCTCCTTGAGATTCTCAGTAGGTACTGACTTACGAGCAGCTTCCTTCTTCCATGGGTCCTCATACTGAAACAAATCCAGGTCAAAGACTCAAAAACAAAAAAAAAACATGACACTCTTTCGGAAAGAAAAATAACAATCGTGTATGCCTGGTCTTTAGGGATGGTTTGGTAGGATGCAATGTAATTACTTGTCCAAAGAACGTAATTCACTTTTGACTTATTTATTTACCACGGTAACAGAGACGCACATTTTGCATTCCTGGGAAATGTGGATATCGTTAGTCTAAAACTAACTTTCCACATAAAACAAACCACAAGGTGGGAATGAGAAAGCCAATTTGCGTGATCTAAATTTCTGTTTTAACACGTTTGGGGAATGTACCAAACACGTCCTTAGAGAGTGATTGGTGCTTTTCAAGGGAATTACTTTCAGTACAATCTCTTTCCATTTTTGAGTGAAATATTATCATCACAAGATGAAAATAATCTCAATTGGCGAATCACTTTCTTTGGTCAAATGGGATACCAAATAATATAAACAACTCTTTACCTGCAATTACTTTCCATGGAAAGTAATTGCTCCATACATGTACTATAGTCTTTGACATATGTATGCTAAAATTTTGCCTAGGCAAATAGTACTTGACATCCAATTTATAGGTCCAATTGTGCCTTATATGAAAATATGAATGGAAACAAAATGAATGGCAACTGACTGACCATCAAAATTATCAATAGTTATACAAGTTACAATGAGACAAATAGGGAAAGAGGGAAAAGGTTGGAAATGTTTTTTGAACACCAACACGCATAAGAATCTTCTGTTCATACAGGCAAACAGATATTTCAAAAAACAAACTTTTAGTGTATGCGAGTTGATGCATGAATAGCATAACCCAAAAGGTTAGTGACGTTCTGGAAAGGAAAGTTAACACAATTATCGGAAAACGTTCTGGAACCGAAAGTTAGAATAAGTATCGGAAACAAGGTTGTTAAAATCGTATTTTTGAATCGAATCGGTAGAGAGATTTATAAATCGAATCGTTAAATCGAATCGTAAATCGTAAGATTTCATAAAAATAAAAAATAAAAATAGTTTGAAATATTAGATAAAAGAAAACCCACAATTTAACATTATTAAGTCGAATAATAAGTTGAAACATTTACATATTCATGACTAAAATAAAGATTCTTTATAAAAATGTGACTAGAGTAGTAATAAAATCCCAGTAGCTTAAGTTCAAATTTTAAACTTAAGTTACCATGACACTACATTGTAGTGATTCTTCGTCATACTTATGTAAATAAGTTTTATTTTAGTAATATTTTTAAAAAAAAATCAAACAAGTTTTAGTATGGAATTTTGTGTTAATAAAAGCTCATAATAAGTAATTAGTTAGCAAAAAGTAAAGTCTATGTTTTGCTGTAACAAATCAAAATATAATATACGGAGTATTAGTTTAGAATGCAACAATTTGCAACTTCTATTGCTGGTGAATTTGTATAATAGATGTGATGGGAGGGTTAGGTGTACGTTCGAATCCCCAAATACAACCAAAAGCCGGTGAATTTGTTCGTTTTCTCATTTTTTTTGCTATCCCACACCAGAAGTAGGAGGGTTTTGCTCCTCCCAAAATGCATATAAATAGTGATCTTCTTCTCCCAATTAAGCAGGCCAGTGGATCTACAAAGTAAACTGCGGCTTCGACAGACCTGATTTGGGCCTTCACCTGGCCTGATTTGTTCGGGCTGAGCTTAAAATTAAAATCGTTAAATCGCATGAATATTGCGATTTTAAACGATTAGTTATGATTAAAATGTGGTTTTTATACGATTTTCTTAAATTGCGATTTTGTATATGAATATACGATTTGGATCGATTTACTGATTTTGAATCGTAAAATCGTACGATTTTACGATTCAAATCGTGATTTTAATAACCTTGATCGGAAAACATAAAACAGAAAAGGTGAGAAAGTGAGACGCTGAGACTTCTAAATTGAGATGAATGAAATATATCCCTAGGGAAAAAGGTAAAGAACAATGTTGAACCAGAAAGAAAATCAATAAAAGAGGTTTAAGCTTTACCAGTAGAACTTGGTCAATGTAAGGCCGTATCTTTTGCTCAAATTCTGTACTGTTTTTACTCTTAACTTCTTGCTGCATCATAAATGCATCTTCCTCGGCCTAAAAGACACATTGTTCCATATATTCTTATATTATTATTATTATTATGAAATGCCAAAAGATAAACAAAAAATGACACAGATTTCACTAAATTAAATAGGATAGAGTGATAAACAAAAGGCAAAAATAATTAAAATACCCCAAACTTTGAAGGGGTGTGAGATGAACACCCAAACTTTCATATGTAATTTAAATACCCCAAACTTTCATTGCAAAATAAATAATGTTACCCCCAATCTATATAATTGCAACACTTTTAATTTGCTATTTTAAATTATGCAATTAACCCCATAAATTTACATTTTTGAGAGAAATAATACATGACAATGGTGCGAAAATAACTTCTTATACGATGGTATATAGTTTGGGGTATTTAAATTAGATATACAAGTTTAGGGTGTTTACCTCGCACCGCTTCAAAGTTTGGGGTATTTTTATTATTTTTCCCATAACAAATAATTTTTTGGAAAAAAGGCGCCTCTTTTAGACAGTAAACTAACTAAATCAGTGACAACAAATCTGTGACTCAGTAACTAAAGTCTGAATTATGTGTTTTGTGACTTTTGTCCTCGAAGAACTGAGATATGTCACTGAATTAGTTAGTTTTTTTGCCAAAAAGTTGATAAAGTAAGATAAAAATACACTTTTTATCTTACTCCCATTAGCCCCTTTTTGAAGATTAGTCCTATTTTGTTAACACAAAGATAAAGTACACATTAAGTTTTTCCTTCAGATATATAATGAAGTTAATTTTGTACAGGATAAATAGGCAAACAACCAAGTATTGAAGTACTCCATATTCCGTATCTGAAATATCTCACAATTATTATAGAAAAAAAAATCACCTCATAGTAGAAACTAAAAACTATACCTGCAAAATCCGAGCTAATTCTTCATCGGATTTAGCAAACTCAAGCCCTGTCCTTTCTTTCTCCGTTTTATTTCCGTCCTCAATGGACACCAATTGGAGCTTTTCTGAAATGTATGCCAAATCCGCTTCTTCTGGTACAGCCTGACCATCACCAACCCCCACTATCTGTCCATCATTACCATTTCACATCACGATATATACATATACAAACAAGCAGAGAAGGAGAGGCATACAGAGTGTAGGTACCTTTTGTTGATCAGGTGGAATGGAGGTAAGAGAGAAGAGCTGGAATTTGAAGATCTGGAAATAAGAAGAGAACAGGTAGAAGAAGGATCTATAAGAGAAGGCTTCGAAGGAGGACAAACTAGATTGGAGAGAAGAAGAGGGAAGTAAAAGAAACGACTTCGAAGCCGTCTTCGGTGTCGCAGTCGACGTCGAAGGTGGATCCATTGTGGCGGACAGAGAACTTCTTCACCACCATTTTCTGCAGTTGAATTCTTCTCCTCTACGACGGAAATGAGAGTAGGAGACGGCAGACTTTCACGACACGTTACTTCATAGTTCATAGGCAGACAGGTTTACGATACAGTTTAAATGCGGATCTCATCACAGTCCGTGGTCTCACCACACAAACCCGCTACTTTCATTACATCTTCTCCCTTCTCAGCCGCTCAGCAATTTCTAGGAAGAATTATTGGGAGCAAGCCCCTTGGTGAGAATTGAATCCAAGACCTCCCATGAAGGAGAAACTTGGGAGTGGATGGTCATCCATTGGACTACACCCACCAACCCCACGTTTACTTAAAACTAGATTCTCACATGTGCGATACATGGAAGAAATTTGACCAATGTGTGATTTAGATGTCTATTAAAAAATGTAGAGATAGTTGAATTTAGAATAAAGTGGTAAGTAATATAAGAAGTGTTCATAGTTAAAGAGAGTTTAAAACATTGTCGAATGGGGGAAAATGTAAATATAATTAAAGAAATACTAACATTTGAAAGTACAAAGTGATAAGTAAAATAGCAAGTGTTTACGGTGAAAATACAAATTTCGAAAGATTTTTTTGTAAACAACATTAGTAGTATGATCAATATGTTAAACTATTTGTCTTGTCTACTAAAATATTAGAGACTCCTGCCTTTGCAATTCATCTTGTACATTTAGAAGGACCGGAACCGATTCCAACCAGTCGAGAAGGATGTTGACTATCGTCCCTACAATCAACGTTTTCTGCAGAATTAAAGCAAAGAAAGAGAAATTCATTTAATTTAATTTTAATTTAAAAAAATAATTTATTTACATAATATATACATATAAATACATATAAATTCAAAGTTGATACACATATGAAATTAGATAGAGTCAATGCCTCAATAAAAAAAAAAGTGAACCACACTAATAAATGTGTTACATTCGTAATTACAAACAATAAAGTATTTTTAAAAATTTAATAATTAACAATTATGAATAAATGTTAATTAATTAATTTTATTAAAATAATATTTTTAACAGACTAAGAATCGGGACCCTCTATATTACCTGGACCTGATTTTAAAAATAGTTGTTGGCCCAATTAGACAACACTCAGCCCAATAATATGTATTTACTCCTCCCCAGCAACCTAAACCTAAACCGCATCTATATACGACCTTTACCTACGCCTAGTTCATTTACCCTGTGGCCAATATCTCAGACCATTGGTTCTCTCCTCTATTACGATCTCCTCCCACCCACCCCCCCACCCCACCTTCTCGGATGTCTTCTTTTGTCGTTGTAATCTCATACCACCACAGTCAACCGTCCCATTTGTCCGATAAAGCCTTATTTGACCATTGTTAGGGCTACGATGGCTGAATGAGCTTCAAAGGATCTCAGACCTAACTGTTCCTTTCATCGTTTCGGTAAAACTTACATGCTTACTGTATTTTACCAATTTTCTATTGCATGAATTTGCAAATCATTTTATTTAAAGGATTTAGTCAATTTATTAAATTTTTTATGCTGCAAAGTTAGTTTATTCTAGACCAATCTTGCTTTTCGTCAACTGTAGTGAAGACAGCCTAGTGAGGGTGCAAGGATCTGAGCTGAGTGAGGGTGCTAGACCGACCTTTCCTTTTAGCCAGTATCCATTTTATGATATATGTGGTCTTGATTTAAACCCTAGATAAAACAAAACTTTGTATTTTGGATACATCTTATAAGATATTTATAATTAATTACAATGGTTTGTGATACCTGAATTTAAAACTGACTTCGTCCATAGTATTTTTTAAATATATAATTTTGGAAGGTCACAATAGCAGACTTTATTTTAAAAAAGGCAGTGCTACACCTTTTCAATCCCAAAAGTTTTTGCTTGAAATAAATAAACTTAAAATGGAATATATGTTACTCGATTAGAGCAATAGCTTGTAAATTGAACAGCTTAAACTACTTAAACATAATAGCAAAACTTTAGTTTGGTTTGGAATAAAATATAAGAGGAAAGGAAGTAGATTGTTTATCAAACTCACATCTTTGGTGTGGAAGATTTTAAAACTACTTAATCCCAGATTTTGTTTTTTTTGGTGAGTTTGTAACTCTTCGATACTTCAACCTCATGTAATACACACCACAATCTCTTATATATCTTATTATTTCAAACATATTTCATCATGTGATCACTATGGACCTGCTTGGTCCAGCAGTGTGCTGGGTAGGAACCTGTAGTCCTGTTTGGAGATAAATTCTTCAGATAGAGACTTAAACATGCATGCTCTTAAGAGATGCTCTTGGTAGATATTTTGTTTCTAGATTATAAATGAATTCCTGATTTCATTGTTAATTGCAATAAGTCTATTTATGTACTGGTTGATCAATAAGCACTGGTTAGTAGCAAGTCAATATGCATGCCTGTAATCAAAGCATTGGTGAGTAAAAATATTCCAATTGTGCTTTCTTTTATGGGTTTACTCTAAGCAATGATCTTGTTTTAATTTATTAATACCTACAATTATCATTCTATATTTCAAAATGCTTATTAAGGCCTGCTTATGATCCTTGGTTAGATGAAAGAGGCCTTTAAAATGAGTTCTTTTCTAGAAAATTTATTTGATTTATTAACTTTATGATCAGTAGGCTGGCCATGGTTTTACCTAAATCCAACTTAGTTCTGTCCTACCTGTTCACAGCTTAAAGATAGATTCTTGCATTTGAGCACACATTCATAATGATGGATAGTGTATCCGGGGGGTAGCTTATCCGAGGGGTTATTGCGAGGAATAACTAGAGAGAAGTCAGAGCAAGTAAGTAGTGAGAGAGAGAGAGTATATTAGAAAATGTATTCAGCGTTTTCAGCGTCTTGTGTCTTGGTTACAAATGGGGATATGAGGTGCTATTTATAGTAGTAATAAATGACAGACAGGGACACGTGTCAAGCGTCCATTGGGCGAGAGGTCACCTCAACTGGTTGGCGCTGGCAGTCGCATGTGGCCGCATTTAATGCGGCTGTTGGATGTGACGTCGTACTGGGTACGGTGATCCATACGCATGTGGAGCGGATATCATGTCGGAAAAGGTGCCCTCAGCTGTAGATGACTAGCCGAGGGCTCTGAGTACCGGGGACCCCTTTAGTGCCGAGGGCTCTAGGTGCCAAGGGCTACTGATTTTCGCCGTTTTCTTCCAGTAACTTTGTTTTCCTGTTTTGACCCTCCTGTGAGAATCAAAGTCTTCGGCCAGGGGGCCGAAGGCACCCCTGGTGCGCATTGTGGGCTGCTTGGTACTCTGGGCGCCGTGATTTGGGCTTGTTGTGCTTCCTGGGCCTAGTGGGCCTTTATTGGAGTAGTAGGAGTCTGTGGACCGGGGGTTCCCGGGCCATATAATCCATCACATAATTTTTTATAAATTGAAAATATCTAATATCAATCTCATATTGAACTGCCTTTTATATTAAAACTATCATATTAATTTTGATCTCATATGGAAATATTCAATGCTCTAGTTTTATAGTTTACTTTATGCAATGTTTTCAACAAACTAAATGGTCTTTAGACACAATATATATTTTTATTATGTGTGAGACTCAAAGATTCATTTTAACATGATTTTATCTTTTATATTGCAGGTCTCTTCCAGAAAGATTGAATATATTTTTGAGTTAAAATTTTATTCTTTATAAGATGTAAACTCAGTGGATTTTAAAATAAGGTGCCCAAATGTGTATTATTCAGAAGTGAAATGTAATATATTATCAATTAGTTAAGATTAGGGACTGCAGGCTTCTATTATTGCTGCTGAACTCTGAGGTATGATCTTCACCCCCCCCCCCAACTTCCAAGTCTTGCTTTTAAATACAATTAAAGTCAGGTTATTTTTAAAATAAACTGTCAAGTATTCAATGTTTGAACCAAATCTTCTTATTTTTTGTAATAGGAAATCAAATTGTTAACTGAACATTATTATATTTTTAGAAACATGCCTTATTTTCTTCACTCAAAACTTTTTACTTTTGAAAATCTGGGTATGTGAAATTATATACCAAAATGCTCTTAGTTTTACCTTTAATATTTACCTTTCGTTGTTAACATTGAATCTATGAGTTTGAGAAACAGTCTTTCCAAGATTAATGCCAGTGATATCTATGAATATCACACTGTTAAAAAGACTGCATCAAAAAGGAAATATTTAGATGAACATTACTAAAAACACACATAAAATTCTATTTTTAAGTTTTTCAATAGTTTAAGGCATATTGCATACCCCTTCATCATGGTTATCAACTTCCATATTCTCAACAGTCCTGCCCATATTGGTTATGGTTAATCATATGTGAATAATTTTTGAAAAAAAAATTAAAGCAATATACATCTTCATCGTTAAAAATTACTTCTTGTACATCCCACTCCTGATATGGTGTCAAACTTCAAATGCTATGCCTGTTGCTCTGGATGTGTGATTGGGTTGAACTTATTTATACTAATGATTTGAACTGCTCTCAATATCTTTCTATATACCCAATGGTCAATAATGTTTAGTCTTTTAATTTGATTAGACAGTCCATGATGTCCAATAAAGTAGCTTAGTTTTGTTATAAGCCACTTATTTAATGAGGACAACTTGCATATCTCAGTACAAAATAAACTTGCGTTGTTGTTTAGCATTTATTGCCAATGTAATTTTTAGATATATCTTAATATGTTGTGCGGCTGAGGGAGATATGAGAGTACAAATCATTAAATGCAAACTCTTGGTTGATATTTCAGATGTTCTGTTTGAGACAATAATAAATATTAAATAGTACAATGCATTAAAGGGTTTTCTGAAACATAGCAATTATACACTGGCAAATTTGAATTCCAATTCTCAACACTGTATGTAAATGTACTATGCAATAAATGCAGTTTATTGAGCCACAAAACGGGGTACTTTTTGAGCTCAAATTTATTGATGCAGTACCATACATTAAATGCACTTCATTGAGCCCCAAAGTAGACAGTCATTCGTTGGCCATATGAAATGACACCTTGGAGCAGAAACCACAAATAACACATGAAGCATGACCCGACCCGCCAATGGAGCAAGTGTTTGGGCGGGAAAAATGGTCTGACTTCTCCTGGTTTTGTATATAGAAAGATTAGGAG